GGTTACATTAAAGCCGAATGTCAGGTGAGCTCACACAATCCCATCTACGATGCTGTCAGTCGTAACCACTTCCTGCATTGAACGAAACCAGATATCACTTTGGTATCCGAATACATTGCACGATGTAAATAACTATGGATACCGCGTGTCGATGTGTGTGGACGTGATCGGAAGACCTGTGATGTTCGTACCAGACACACAGAGCTACGCTCCCATATAGGTACAAAGCAGCGCCCACGTGCCACCCTATGTTTGTCTGAAGAGGTTACACACAACCAAATGTTTTCCTATACACTTCTATAGTAACGTTAAATATATTTTTTAAAATAATTAAGCATTCAACAGCTTTTACCTGTACGTATGTGCACAGTTTGGCCTTGGAACAGCAATAAAAACAAAAAAATGACTTAGCCAACTCCTTTTTCGAGTACAGGAAGCTAAACACACCACCCCCAGTTCCGCACTCAATGTCACCTACTTGAAAATATCTGTGGTCACATTCAGCATAAGTCATCATGTTGAAAAAGACAGTACTAAATATAGAAAAAAACATTCTTAGTTTTAATAAGCAGATGGATGTACATTTAAAAGACATAAAAATCTTACACAATATTATCCAATCACAGCCTGCAGATACCTCTCGATCTGCACTGAAGGCTACCCACTATGGTTCTGATTTAGTGTAGTAGAGCCTATAGTATAAAAGTATACACTTCTATGACAGAATACAACCATCTAACAAACACAACTGTGATGAAAAAAACCGCTTATGTACCATCGTTGTTGACCGGAACTGGACACATTTCGTGGAGTAAACAATGTGACCACGTGATAGTAAGCAGACGTGCGCAGACTGGTACAGCCAACTCGGCGTTGACGTCAGAAGCAGCTTAATACTATTGGTTGGGTCTGTTTTCATTTCATTACTTTTTAAAGCGCATTACATGAATAATGAATCACCATTGCCTCGTGTTGTCCTATGTGTTCCGCGTAAAGACAGATGGTTCAGTCAGTAGGGGCCAAATGAATGTAGAATGGCGATGTGGATTAGATCAGAGTCCCATATATTGGAAAAATGTCAGAATTTAGATTCATCAAAGAAGAATGCCGCATATGACGGTACAAATCGGCTTACGACACGGGATGACCCCTGGCAAACCAGAGCCGAGAGAAGGGGGGTTGGAGAAAGAAGCAGGGCTGGGGGAGAGAAGGGGGGATGGAGAAAGGAGGGACTGGAAAATCCGGGTTCGGAAAGTGGAACTACAGGCCTGGAGAAGCAGGGTTGGGAAAGTGGAACTACAGGCCTGGAGAAGCAGGGTTGGGAAAGTGGAACTTCAGGGCCTGCAGAAGCAGGGTTGGGAAAGTGGAACTACAGGGCCTGGAGAAGCAGGGTTGGGAACGTGGAACTACAGGCCTGCAGAAGCAGGGTTGGGAAAGTGGAACTAAAGGCCTGGAGAAGCAGGGTTGGGAACGTGGAACTACAGGGCCTGGAGAAGCAGGGATGGGAACGTGGAACTACAGGCCTGCAGAAGCAGGGTTGGGAACGTGGAACTACAGGGCCTGGAGAAGCAGGGTTGGGAACGTAGAACTTCAGGGCCTGGAGAAGAAGGGTTGGGAACGTGGAACTACAGGGCCTGCAGAAGCAGGGTTGGGAACGTGGAACTACAGGCCTGCAGAAGCAGGGTTGGGAACGTGGAACTTCAGGGCCTGGAGAAGAAGGGTTGGGAACGTGGAACTACAGGGCCTGGAGAAGCAGGGTTGGGAACGTAGAACTTCAGGGCCTGGAGAAGAAGGGTTGGGAACGTGGAACTACAGGGCCTGCAGAAGCAGGGTTGGGAACGTGGAACTACAGGCCTGCAGAAGCAGGGTTGGGAACGTGGAACTTCAGGGCCTGGAGAAGAAGGGTTGGGAACGTGGAACTACAGGGCCTGGAGAAGCAGGGTTGGGAAAGTGGAACGACGGGGCCTGGAGAAGCAGGGTTTGGAACGTGGAACTACAGGCCTGCAGAAGCAGGGTTGGGAACGTGGAACTACAGGGCCTGGAGAAGCAGGGTTGGGAACGTAGAACTTCAGGGCCTGGAGAAGAAGGGTTGGGAACGTGGAACTACAGGGCCTGCAGAAGCAGGGTTGGGAACGTGGAACTACAGGCCTGCAGAAGCAGGGTTGGGAACGTGGAACTTCAGGGCCTGGAGAAGAAGGGTTGGGAACGTGGAACTACAGGGCCTGGAGAAGCAGGGTTGGGAACGTAGAACTTCAGGGCCTGGAGAAGAAGGGTTGGGAACGTGGAACTACAGGGCCTGCAGAAGCAGGGTTGGGAACGTGGAACTACAGGCCTGCAGAAGCAGGGTTGGGAACGTGGAACTTCAGGGCCTGGAGAAGAAGGGTTGGGAACGTGGAACTACAGGGCCTGGAGAAGCAGGGTTGGGAAAGTGGAACGACGGGGCCTGGAGAAGCAGGGTTTGGAACGTGGAACTACAGGCCTGCAGAAGCAGGGTTGGGAACGTGGAACTTCAGGGCCTGGAGAAGAAGGGTTGGGAACGTGGAACTACAGGGCCTGGAGAAGCAGGGTTGGGAACGTGTATCGGTAGGGCCTGGAGAAGCAGGGTTGAGAAAGTGGAACTACAGGGCCTGGAGACGCAGAGTTGGGCACGTGTATCGGCGGGCCTGAAGAAGCAGGGTTGGGAACGTGTATTGGCAGGGCCTGGAGAAGCAGGGTTGGGAACGTCTATCGGCAGGGCCTGGCGAAGCAATACTAGAGGCGAGGGACTACAGGTCAACTGAGGCCGGGAAGTCATTAAGACCTTGTCGTACTTGGCGAGGAGCCAGGAGCAGCCATGATGTGATGGGATCGATGCCGTTATGTATTCATGACTGTGATATTACAAGCAGAGACCAGCTCCACGTTTATGATTGCGTGTCCCTAGGGAGCCACATCATGCTAAGCCGAAATACATCAGCCAGGCTGCAAACTCGGTCAAACCACAGAGCTCGCTCAACTACTGGTACAACTACCAGTGGCAGGGCAGACCATACAACTTGTAGTATTTACTAACTTATCGCGCCACTGTCACTGTACTGCCGTACATTGTTTGATTTGCATCACTGTAAGCTGCCACCAGTCGTCAATCAATAGATCTGCTGCCTAGAGACGAGAATATATAAATAACATCAAGTAAAAAAACTGGATTTCATCAATCGCAGTTTCACAAATTAAAATCTCATAGAAAAAAAGAGAGATAAAAGCGATTACATTGAACTATATCAGACGAAGTCCTGGTCGCAATCCTAGAGTAATTCCCGAGTCAAGACAATAAAACAATAGGGCTTGACTGGCGCTCTTGGTGCCCTGTGTGGGGACTGTGGTGGCTGAAAATGTCGTGAAACAGCACCCTCAACGCTGCTTAGCCAGTAGATACAAGTTGAGTGATTTCGGTATTGGTCGCGGAAATACTTCATTGCAAACACCACCCAGCTCCTGGGAAATCACCGACACTTTCCCTGATTTCCCCGCGGATAAATCCCGGACTGTGCGCAGGCATATCAAATAGGACCCGCTCGATCTACGTTTTTTGTCAGGGTCACGAGGTTGATGATTGTGCGTATTATCAATCTTTTAATGTTCTCCTCGTGATGGTTTTTCTTCTCATGAATATTTCAATGTGAATTTAAGTGCAGCGCTTGTCAGCGTTAAGGACTGGTCCGTGTGTGTTAGACTGGTGTCTTTATTGCCTGGAATGGTAACATACAAAACTAGTGTATACTGGAATAGTAAGGTACCAATATGTTTGGTGTATATTGGGCCTGGAATAGTAAGGTACCAATATGTTTGGTGTATATTAGCCTGGAATAGTAAGGTACCAATATGAAGAGAGGTGATTGTCGTCTACAGTCAGCAATGTCAGTGATGATCACAACGACTTCTGCATATATATGGTCCTCAAAACCGACCCTCCCTCCTCACACTCCCACCCTCCATCCCAACACTCCCACCATCCCACCCTCCCTCCTCACACTCCCACCATCCCAACCTCCCTCCTCACGCTCCCACCCTCCCTCCTCACACTCCCACCCTCCATCCTCACACTCCCACCCTCCCACCCTCCCTCCTCACACTCCCACCCTCCATCCCAACACTCCCACCATCCCACCCTCCCTCCTCACACTCCCACCATCCCAACCTCCCTCCTCACGCTCCCACCCTCCCTCCTCACACTCCCACCCTCCCTCCTCACGCTCCAACCCTCCCTCTTCCCACTCCCACCCTCTCTCCTCAGACATTCCCCTGTCCCTCCAGTCGGGCTCACTCCCCCCCCCCCCCCTTTCAACGCACCCACCAGTCCTCAACATCCCCCCCCCTCCTCTTTCAGACACCCACCCTCACTCCTCTCCTTTCACACTTTCCTGTACCTCTGCCCCCCTCCCCCCCCCCCCCCCCCCCCCCCTCACCCCCCCTCACCCCCTCTCACACACCCACCTTTCCTTCAAGCCGGTCTCACTCCTCGGGCGTCAACACCCCCACCCCATTCCTCACCAACCCACCTGTCCTTCTAGTCGTCTCTCTCCCTTGACCTCGACACCCACCCTCACCCACCCACCTGTCCCTCTAGCCGGTCTCACTCCTCGGGCGTCAACACCCCCACCTCATTCCTCACCAACCCACCTGTCCCTCTAGCCGGTCTCCCTCCCTCGTCGTCAACACCCATGAGCCGCGCTAGTCTAAACACACTATGTATGTATTATATGTACTTATTTGTTCATTTATAATCTACACGAAATGTTCCTTTCTGTAGCGCATGCATATTTCATATTTCCAGAAATATTTCGGTGAACTGCGAGTATTTGTTACGGTTAATAGAAACAGTATTCAGCACCGTGACTAACACGGCACTGGGGCAACCCCAGGTCATCACGATACTGCCTCTGCCTTTGTGTTTTAACTCCAATTTCAAACAAAAAAGTTTAATTAAAACATTCGAATGTGATATTATGTTTATTTTCTTAAAACTGTCTGGAGATTATGATTTCATTAAATATCAGTTCATCACATTTCAGAAACATCTGGGCCATTCCTCTTTCCCTAGCTGGTTTCAATTCGAAACTGATTGTCCACCTTTTTGTAATAAAATGTCATACAGCGCACTCTCTCAGCCAGAAATTTATATTTTCAATTTAATAGACCAAGTCACAAAGGATTTGTAATTTGACTTTTGAATTATCTGAGCACTGTAAGATGACATAAACACTCCCTTCATTTAAAAAAATTCAATTTTGATGACTTCATCTTGACTTCTCCGACTTCACGCTCATATTTCGTTTTAAATCCCCGATCCGGCTGCCGGAATGAGCTGATGTCAGACTCGATAAATTTGATGCTAGTTGCAATATTGTACTGTGCCCAGGGCATTTTGATAAAGGATGGCTTCATCACTGAAGCCCTCATCATCTTTCCCATTTAATTGTCTCCCCTGTCTGTGTTGAAGCACGTGCGCGATGTACTAGCGCGGTGACTGCAGTCTGGCTAAATACCGTCATTACTGACAATGGAAGTATGGCGAGGTGATTAGAGACTCAATTGGTTGGCACAAACACCTCGACGTCAGCAGGAATCTGGCGAGTGATAGTGAGATCACTTTTTAGATTCTCAACCGCCCCAGTCAGTAAACTGCACTATCCATGTCTGGGGTACAATTTGCACAATACCTAAACAATAGGGCGGGTAGCAAGATGCCTCGCCGTCACGCCTTTCGCTACATGTGACGTGATCGTGGATATTTTATACCGGCGCTGCTGAAAGTGACGTGGTCGTAGATAATTTAAATCAAGGCTGTTGAAAGTGACGTGATCGTAGAAAATTTGAAGTGAGACGGCTGAAAGTGACGTGGTCGTAGATAATTTAAAGCAAGGATGTTGATGGTGACGTGATCGTAGATAATTTAAAGCGGGATTGCTGGAAATGACGTGATCGTAGATAATTTAAAGCGGGACTGCTGAAAGTGACGTGATCGTAGATAAAATTTAAAGCGGGACTGCTGAAAGTGACGCGATCGTAGATATATAATTTAAAGCAAGGCTGTGATGTGACGTGATCGTAGATAATTTAAAGTGGGACTGCCGAAAGTGACGTGGACGTAGATAGATTATTTAAACCAAGGCTGTGGAAAGTGACGTGATCGTAGATAATTTAAAGTGGGACTGCTGAAATTGATATGATCGCAGACAGATAATTTAAAGCTAGGCTGTTGAAAGTGACGTGATCGTAGATAATTTAAAGTGGGACTGCTGAAAGTGACAACAGCTATCCAAAACGTTAAGCGGGATTAATGTGAGCGACTTAATTCTCAAGACTCAAGTGATATAAAACGCTCGAACTATAACGCTCGTTTGTGTTGGAGGAATATGCGAATCTCGTCATATCTGAATGATCTCGACGCATCTGTCGTCAGTTGTTGTTGGTTAATGACAGATGGCAAATAACAATTGTTCGGCCAAATGAAAAGTTTGCAAATGTTTATGATGTGAACCCTTATGTGAATATGCTTTACAAAGCAATACAACTAGCACACTGCTACGGCCAGGTTGAAGGTCATAATCGTCCGGTAAGACGGAGGTATCGCAGACAGAGGTCAACGGCTAGCCTTGCTCCAAGGCTGTACTGAAAAGAAACCCATGGATGTGTAGTAATTCTATCCTCCTTACAATAACTTCTAGATATGTGGACAGTAAGGACTCCAGTCTCCTATAGGGACAACGTGTTCTTATCATTTATATAATCTAGAAATTATTATTCAAACTAATAATTATTGCCCCAAAGTCATGCGGATGGAGAACTGCGGAGCTAGTAACAACAAGCAAACACTTATTTTTTAAGAATAAAATAATGTATTATCACCAAATATAGAATCTAATTTCACACGAATGAAACAACAAGTCATGATACACTTCATGCCGGCATTAAGCACCTCAAATCTACCTCGACGACGCTTTTGGTAGCAGAGTAAGAGTGAGTGAGTGAGTGAGTGAGTGAGTGAGTGAGTGAGTGAGTGAGTGAGTGAGTGAGTGAGTGAGTGAGTGAGTGAGTGAGTGAGTGAGTGAGTGAGTGAGTGAGTGAGTGAGTGAGTGAGTGAGTGAGTGAGTGAGTGAGTGAGTGAGTGAGTGAGTGAGTGAGTGAGTGAGTGAGTGAGTGAGTGAGTGAGTGAGTGAGTGAGTGAGTGAGTGAGTGAGTGAGTGAGTGAGTGAGTGAGTGAGTGAGTGAGTGAGTGAGTGAGTGAGTGAGTGAGTGAGTGAGTGAGTGAGTGAGTGAGTGAGTGAGTGAGTGAGTGAGTGAGTGAGTGAGTGAGTGAGTGAGTGAGTGAGTGAGTGAGTGAGTGAGTGAGTGAGTGAGTGAGTGAGTGAGTGAGTGAGTGAGTGAGTGAGTGAGTGAGTGAGTGAGTGAGTGAGTGAGTGAGTGAGTGTAAAAGATGCAATAGTGAGTGAGTGTTGTTTTACGCCGCTTTTAGCAATATTCCAGCATTATAACGACGGGAGACACCAGAAATGGACTTCACACATTCTACCCATATTGGGAACGAGCTCGGGTCTCAGCGAACGCTATAACTTCCAAGCTACCCAACCGCCCCAAAATCATACAAGAAAATAAACTTATTTCCACTTTTCAGGTGACCACACACGTCAGGTGACACAACTCGTGTCAGAGATGGCATGACAGTCGGCCTGATGGACAAATCAGGGTTTCATCTGGCATATACTGAAGGAAAGAAATAAGTAAACGGCTACTTCCATTTTGTGCAGTGACCTTTTTGATGATCTAAAGCATTGTCATTGAACAGTAAGCAATCTGGAACATTATTTTCTTGAAGTATTAACTAGTATTTTCGGAAAAACATAATAATACACCAGTAAAATCAAAATTTGCGGGTTCCAAGTTGTCTGTGAAGTTTCCTGGACATGGTGGTACCCATCTTCTTCCCGTCAGCCGGAGGTGGGTCACGTAAACACAAATATAGTCAAGAAAACTTCAATTAAATATTTCGAAGTTTTGGGAGCGAAAGTGTTTAAAGTAGAGCCCGTACACATCTATACATTTGCTTCGTTAAGCTACACGTACAGTATCGCACTTGAGAAACATTTGCTTTTGCAGTTTTTCATTTCATCAATGAAGGTTATAATTTATCCAACTCATGCAGCATCGCATAAACACCTAAGGCCATTAGAGAAAACACAAGTGGCTAGGGGTATGGGATGTCTATGAAACGGCTACTTTCTAGAAAACTGTTACTTGCAATAGCTTGCCTGAAATTGCCTTTTACTTCAGGAAATGTTTTCCAACTTGTGAATGTTATAGTTTTCAACTGGCCATTGGAGGGTTTAATTGAACAAGAGAAGAATAGGTCGCTCTGTGTTCTCCGATATGAAGCCCTCTCGGCGGGAGGCAGGGGAGGTCGCCCCGGCCACCTGTGAGGCCCTACCCGTGCATTGCCGGATGCAAGGCCCCATGGACGCGTGCGCATCAAAGCGGTATTGTTGACGAGTCGATGGAGTCGTCTGCTCGGCACGCGACAACAGTTCCGGGTTTAATGGCAAAGGCGCGTAGCGATTGGCTGCAGTGCACCTGCATCCGTACTGATATCGACCGGAGAACTTGGACAAGGACAGGAGCCAGTGCAAGCAATTTTCCCACACACAAAACGAAGAAGGAAATTTACAAACGGCATTTGGCTGAAATTTCACACGGATAACAATTCTTGGGTATTGAAAATCGAAACGTTTTGATTATCGCCATGACAGCGGACAAACCCAGGAATAACATTCCCACAACTCACTTGGGTGTTTGCAACTCCAAACCTACTTGCCACACACTGACGAGATACTCTGTGAACAAACGCTATGAGTGGCAGATTATATGTGCCTTCATTATTCCTCACTCACTCACTCACTCACTCACGCACTCACTCACTCACTCACTCACTCACTCACTCACTCACTCACTCACTCGTAGGAAACCTGACTGTGAGGTGAGGTAAACTGACGATGGGGGGTGAGGTAAACTGACGGTTGGGAGGGGGAGGTACAGTCATGGTGTGGGGTGATGTTAACTGACGGTTTGGGGTGAAAACTTACAATGGGGGCGGGGGGATTAAACTGACGGTGTTGGGTGAGATAAATTGACGGTTTGGGGTGAAGTAAACTGACGGTGTTGGGTGAGGTAAACTGACGGTGTGGAGTGTAGTAAACTGACGGTGTGGGGTGAGTTAAAATGACGGCGTGGGGTGAGGTAAACAGACAATGTGGAGTGAGGTAAAATGACGGTGTGGGGTGTAGTAAACTGACGGTGTGGGGTGTAGTAAACTGACGGTGTGGGGTGTAGTAAACAGACGGTGTGGGGTGAGGTAAAATGACGGTGTGGGGTGTAGTAAACTGACGGTGTGGGGTGAGGTAAAATGACGGTGTGGGGTGAGGTAAACAAACAATGTCGAGTGAGGTAAACTGACGGTGTGGGGTGTAGTAAACTGACGGTGTGGGGTGTAGTAAACAGACGGTGTGGGGTGTAGTAAACAGACGGTGTGGGGTGTAGTAAACTGACGGTGTGGGGTTTAGTAAACAGACGGTGTGGGGTGAGGTAAAATGACGGTGTGGGATGAGGTAAACAGACAATGTGGGGTGAGGGAAGCTGATGGTGTGGGGTGAGGTAAACTGATGATGTGGGGTGAGGTAGACTGATGATGTGGGGTGAGGGAAGCTGATGGTGTGGGGTGAGGTAAACTGATGGTGTGGGGTGAGGTAGACTGATGATGTGGGGTGAGGGAAGCTGATGGTGTGGGGTGAGGTAAACTGATGGTGTGGGGTGAGGTAGACTGATGATGTGGGGTGAGGTAAACTGATGTTGTGGGGTGAGGTAAACTGATGGTGTGGGGTGAGGGAAGCTGATGGTGTGGGGTGAGGTAAACTGACGGTGTGGGGTGAGGTAAACTGATGATGTTGGGTGAGGTAAACTGACGGTGTGGGGTGAGATAAACTGACGGTGTGGGGTGAGGTAAACTGATGGTGTGGGGTGAGGTAAACTGATGATGAGGGGTGAGGTAAACTGATGATGTGGGGTGAGGGAAGGTGATGGTGTGGGGTAAGGGGAGGCTGATGGTGTGGGGTGAGGTAAAGCCATGATGTGGGGTGAGATAAACTGTCGGTGTGGGAGACGTAAGCTCATCGTGTGGGGTGAAGTAAACAGACACCGCGGGGATGAACTGAAGTCCCTATACCCTCAACCCAACCCTCAACCCAACCTTCACCAGAGACATGTACCTAAGTCGGCAGTAACCTGTTGAACACTAATATGCCCATTGTCGAGAGTTGTCGTGGTCCAGGGACGTGGAATATCACCTGATCAGCCCAATAATTCGTTCGTTTTATCAGTTTTATCAATAATTATCAAGTCATCATCTGAGAAACTAAACACAATAAAACTACATAATCATTACATTAAGTGTCGTTAATGCGCAATTGCGTGTTTGCGAAATCAAGCAAGGAAGGCACTTTAAAATGTAATTAGGATTTCAAAGTCGATAAATATCTTGTGAATACCTTTTTCTTTACATGTAGAATGACTTTGTATAAGCTCATCGAAAGCTGGCGGAGGTTCGTGGACGCCCATTGTCAGTCAGCCTGTCTGTAATTAAGGACATTATTATATGGTATTGGAGGCGCCTCACGTGGTATACACCCAATCCATGGTCAATGTCGTTGTTAAAGAGGATTTAAGTATAAACACGATTGAAAATCGGATCAAGGTTTTCAGTGCGTTGGTAAATGAGCTGCACCCCCCACTCTCTGAGATGGAAGGAGAGTGGGGGTAGAGCATGTAGGCTGTGCTGGCATATGGCAGTCTGTGTTGTGGAAGTTGTCACCTAGCTGTGGCAGTGGGCCTGACAGATTGCGTATTGAGCTGACACCTGACATCAGGAATAACGTCTTGGCACACGGATCTGCTAGATCGATATTACCTGCTTCATAACAAAGCCACGGACCCTACCATGGATCCAGAGTGCTGGGGGATATAAAAATCACCAGGCATTAAGATGATCCTGCAATAAACGAATGGCAGACTGTTCGTGTCGAGTTGCCATACTGAATAATAATCTTGATATAAAAAAAACGGAAAAAGGTATATTGTTTTCATCAGGCAAAGACTTGCTTGTGGTATTGATTGACACAGATGGCAATGGAAAGAACAAATGACAAAACGCCAAGCCATGAGTCGTTTTTTAATGAATACTATGCATCGGCACTGCGCTAGTCCTGCACCATGACCGTGGAATATATTTATTTTATGAAAAAAACATAATCTAGAAATGCATACAAAAGCAAGTCTAGCCAGCTCAAGCTAGCTCTATTCCACAATCAATCAGCATAGGGAATTTTATTTTTATTTTTAGAGTCAAGAAGGATATTGTTTTATATAAGATTTCAGAGACTAAATGTTAGTCTAGCACTGCGCGTGTAGTTATTGCAGTCATAGTGTGTTGGTTTTACGCCGTTTTTAGAAATATTCAAGCAATATCACTGTCAAGGAAGGGAACTGACACAGTGTTAACATATGGGGAATCGAACTCGGGTATAAAAAACGAACAGCAAGTGCTGTAACAAATGTGCTATTTTTAA